ATCCGCTCGTAGCTTCGCTTCGGATAGTAGTTCTCCATATGTCGTCTTTCCAGAACTTTTCCGATATAACTAGAACCTTCAAGAAATTTTCTAAGCTCGTTTTGCCTATGTCGGGAACATTTTCGGGGTTATTCGAACACTTTTGGTACAACTGGGAGATTGAAGAAAACTCCTAGAACATTCAAGAGACGTTCCAGCTGTTACGATATCCGCTTTTGTTATTTGAATATAAATGGCATCACTCGTACCGATATAACAATATCTCTTTATTGTCTCACAATAAAGCTTAGTACCTAATTAGTCGGCAAAAATATATATAAAAAAATCTCTTTACAAATCAAATGTTTCGACCTATACAAATGGCATATACCATATGGCAACTGCGCGGTCTGTTCTAAAATGTGGGGGAAATTTATCTCAGTTTTAATCTATATTGAAACGTATGTCACAGTGAGAACTGGCTTCGTCTACCTTTTTGCTTTATCGCTGCTGGTAGCCTCAACGGTCTATTCCAGCTTCTCCAGAACAATAAGCTGGCTCGGCTTGAAAGAATTTTGCTTAATACTTGTCCTAGAAAGAGCAGTGCTTCGTTGAATCTATCATCGGATCGGAATCGCGATCTCGAGAGAAGATATAAAGCAAAACTCAGTAGGTCGCACGTCGAACTCTTCGTCGCTTCGGCTAATAATCAACCTAAAAAGCGACTGCAAGAGTTGAGAGCACGGAAATGTTGTTTTCGTAACGAACTATCCCGAAATTGCACGACAAACAAACAACAGAATCACAATTCGCGATAAGTCAATTATCGATAAACTAACTCCGCACATCACTAGCGGTCGTGAGAGTCGCATCGCTTTGGCCTACATATTATTAAACGATGTTAGCAAATGGTACGGATATGTCGCAACTCAAGACTGTTCCCTGCTACTACAAGAAATAATTTATTTACTTGGAAGGCAGATGAGCTCACGGTCGGAGCTTGCGAGGCCCTAGAGGCAAACGTGAATGCAACTTTTCACCTGGTTCTTCATAAAAACGACGATATTATGATAAAATACAATTCCTTTGCGACCTCTGCACTAATTGCGGCCTCAGAAGACTAACATAGCATTCGTGACAGATCAATTTATAAGTAAAACCTTTTTGTTTTGGTTAGTTGGGTAGACGAGCTCATGGTCAAACTGGTGTTAAATGATTACTGGAGCCTATAGACATCTACAACGTAAAAGCCGCCACCCACCTTGAGATATCAGTTCTAAGGTCTCAAGTATAGATACAACGGCTGCCCCATTCTTTAAACCGAAACGCATTAGAAACGGCTTCACGGCAGAAATAGGCAAGGTGGTGGTACCTACCCGTGCGGACTCACAACACGTCCTACCACCAGTCATTACGCAGATTATTATTTTGCGGGTTCGATTTTTATTACACGATATTTATTCATGATTGACAATTGATGATTGTAAAACGCATTACTGCTTCACGGCAGAAAAAGGCATGGTGCGTAGATACCCCTGCGGACCCACGTTGTAGGATGTCCACAAGACATTTTACCACCAATCCTGAAAATAGACAGGATCAGCGGCCCCATTACGAACCATTGAAAATCAGCCAAGGTGGTGAAATGAGCGCAACACCAACCCCCCATTGCCTTTCAGAGTTCTGTCTCGGACTCTTGGAGGAAAAACGGATGATGGGGTCGCCTGCAGCTCTAACATTAGGAGCAAGATTAGAGACCCCTGTAACAGTCGTGAAAACTAGCCCATAACATCAGCTAAATTTCTTGCGAGACCATCTCAGGGGGTCAATCTGTCCTTGAGCTCTTAGGCTTTTGAAGGCACTCAAGCAACGGTTAGTAAACCCTACTCTTCCTGGCTGAGCCCGTTCTGGCTTTTGGGCTAACAGGTATACTTACTACCATCCTAAAAAAACCGGACAGTCCGTCTACCGGGCAATTTCACCCCGCCCGGTCTAAAATCATCCCTTTGTCGCATCCTCAAAACAGTCTTAAATTTTCGCAGCCCGTCATCAAGATTAAGTATAGTGGTACTCATCTATGCTTTCACCAGTAAGGTCGGGGGAGCAGGAAGAATATCTGAAGAAGATTGTAACGCAGAAATGCATTTCGTAGGCCAAGTGCATATCGTCAGATTCATTGCGTATTTTAGATAACATTAAATCGTAATGTTCCAATACATACATTATTATGCACAGCAAATAAATCAGCAGAACACAAAACACAGAAACCTCGAACCGAAACTGTGTATCGTGTGCTTTAGCCTAGACAGTTACAACTATTAGGGCAGTGTAGAATAATTTCAATATGCAGATACGTTATTTTCATTAATGCCTATTTTTGTCTCTGAGAGACGAGATGTTTGCGCGATGCCATAGTTCTAAGCTCCATCAATAAAATAGCCACTAAAAGTGGCTATTAGAGTATCGTCGACTCATTAAGCCAGTTGAAATATGCATTGATCCTTATTCTAACTTGCCCGAAATCAATTATTAACTGAAGCAGTTTTCACACAAATCACTAAAAAGCCTTCGGTTCTGTTGCTCTGTGATCAAAACCTTCTATTTCCCTTTCACTGGCACGTCTTTAGTTTAAATTGAACAGATACGCATTAATTTGACCAAGGAAACAGTTATACAATCTAACATCGATAAATAAAGTGAGATTGCATAAAAAATTATCAAGTACATTTTTCATCCTTTAATATGACTTGTATGCAAATTTAAAATCACAGTCTAGTTTTTATCCACTTTCAATTGTTTTTTTAAATCATGAAACTTAACAAGGACCTTTTTTGATTACTTAGTTGGGTGAACGAGCTTACAGCCCACCTGGTATTAAGTGGTTACTGGAGCCCATAGACATCTACAACTTAAATGTGCCGCCACCCACCTTGAGATATTAGTTCTAAGGTCTCAAGTATAGTTACAATTGCTGCTCTACCCTTCAGACCGAAACGCATTACTGCTTCACGGCAGAAATAGGCAGGGCGGTGGTACCTACCCGCGCGGACTCAAAAGAGGTCCTACCCCAGTAATTACGCAAATTATAATTTTGCGGGTTTGATTTTTATTACACGACGTTATTCCTTCACCGTGGAAGTCAATCGTGAACATTTGTTGAGTACGTATTTCATTAGAAAAATTGGTACCCGCCTGGGATTCGAAAATCGGTGCATCGCTCAACACGAATGCACGTCTTATCCTTTAGGCCACGACGACTTCAAAGTACAACGGCTACCCCACCCTTCAAGCCGACCTGGTATGACTACAAGAGTGACATAATGTTTCTTTAGTTACCATCGCCATCAGCTCAGTCATCTAGTGCTGGGCATAGGCCTCTCCTAATTTACACCACCGAGCCCGGTGTTCAGTTCTCCTTGTCCATATCTTGCCGCCCACCATTCGCAAGTCATCGCTTTACCTACCCGGAAGCATTCCACATTACGTTCGCCTATACCGCCATCTTTACTAAAAAGCGGGATTGGAACACCGTTGCATCGCTACATACGAATGCGCCGGACGTCGTATCCTTTAGGCCACGACGACTTCACTTAGAAGATATAAACGTGAGCGGCGGTATATCGACCGAAAGACCCTTCTTCATCCTTTATAAATTAATCCGCGATCGCATTTGTGACGTAGCCACCACCAGTTCCGTTTGATACATCCGTGTGATCATGGCCTTGCCACAGCCTCCCGTTACTAAATCGATGTTTGCTTTATAAAAACCGGTTTTTAATCATCACTTGAACCTTCATATTACATACAGCGATGTACATGCAGATTTTCAGTTTAGGGGATCCTAAAATGCTTACATGCTTACATTATCGGGCATAAAGTGTACTAATTAGATGGGTGCGCAGTCATGTGCCATTCCCGATCCTGCGTACTGAATGGTAAACAGTCGACGTCGCCCAAAACACGTCATTTCGGATCCTCCCGGTCCACTAACGGTGCTTTTAGAGTTCTCAAGCACCGGTCATCGTTCTCGTCGAACCCGTCGCTCGCAACGAAGGGCTCGGTGAGTAAATTAACCCACAGACACAGCCCACTGAGTTTATCGCCGGATTACTCAGTGGGTCCCGTTNGATCCTGCGTACTGAATGGTAAACAGTCGACGTCGCCCAAAACACGTCATTTCGGATCCTCCCGGTCCACTAACGGTGCTTTTAGAGTTCTCAAGCACCGGTCATCGTTCTCGTCGAACCCGTCGCTCGCAACGAAGGGCTCGGTGAGTAAATTAACCCACAGACACAGCCCACTGAGTTTATCGCCGGATTACTCAGTGGGTCCCGTTTCCGATCAGGTGGTAGATTTTGCGAAGCCCTGCTCTTGCTAGGGTTAGTGTTAGCAACGTCATCAGGTTTGAGCTCCGCGAGCTCACCTACTTGTTAGGGTTACGCTGAAATGGCCTCTCAAGGCCATCAGATTAGGTAGAAAAAATAAGCTCAAGAGTTAAATGGTCACTACAATGCATAGATATAATTGACGGAAATGCCCCTATTACACACCTCGAGACATCTGTCCCGACACTCCCAACCTTCAAACCGATTTAGACTTCACTTAACCGTAGCAGCAATAAACAATCCTGATTTTTGTACCCGAAATATTTTTGTTTCCTAAGCAATGGATACGCCGTAGGCCTTTGATTCTGTCAACTGATTTTCGTACGCCTTACATTGATAGCATAAATATTATTAAATTTAAATATTCGACTGTGATCCTGTCGAGAATCACTAGCATAACGAATAATCTTTGTTTTTGGACTAGGGTTCCTAGGCGTATTAGAAAGGTGTAGTTTTACTTGTGTTAGAGCCTAGTACCACCATCCTCCACTTTAGGCCATGAAGCAGTCGTACTTTCCGGGTTGAATGGTTGAAAAGACATCCACATTGTTTAGTCAATGAATCTTCTTTAATGACTAAAAATCTAGAGCAAAAGCAAAAGGAAATGGAAAGAAGGAAAGAGCTAAAACAGCTTACCGAAGTTTCGATGTCGTCTCCTCGGCGTCGGGGGCTGTCTCTTGAGGGACAGGTCCACTGGCTCCACTTGAACTGGGGGACAGCTTGCCTAAAACCAATGTTTGGAATACATAGAGTGAGCTGGGTCTCCATAGCGGCTCAATAGATTAGCCGTGACGGTGAATAGAGGATATTGAATAGAGGAATTTTGTAGGCAGCGGCTTGGCTCAGCCCCTGGCATTGCTGAAGTCTATGGGCGACGGTAACTACTCACCATCAGGTGGGCCGTGTGCTCGTTTGCCTACAAGGGCAATAAAAAATAAATAATAATAATAAAACTTCACTGCTGGTAGGACCTCTTGAGAGTCCGCGCGGGTAGGTACCACCACCCTGCTTATTTCTGCCGTGAAGCAGTAATGCGTTTCGATTTGAAGGGTGGGGCAGCCGTTGTAACTGTACCTGAGACCTTAGAACTTATGTCTCAAGGTGGGTGGCGCATTTACGTTGTAGATGTTTATGGGCTACAGTAACCACTTAACACCAAGTGGGCTGTGAGCTCGTCTACTCATCTAAGCAATAAAAATAAAATAAAAAAACAACATCCCAATCGCGAATCATTTTCATTTCGCATAAATAACCGTGGTAACACCAAAACACAACAAAGTTTAGTTGCATTCTATTGTAAAACCCGGATCTATTTTAGACCATCAACATTAATCTAATAAACTTACATGTCCTCGGCATAAGCGTAAATATATATTTTTTAATTAGTAATTTTAAACAGGAAGCTGTCTTAAAACATTCAACCGTAGTTTTGAGAAAAAACAATTTCTTAGGCAGTGCATGCACAATGTCCATTGACATGTCCATATAAATTAATCTACAGTAGAGATCTAGTAGATCTTAGATTACAAAAATACAAAACTAAAGATGGCTAACTCGTTCTTCGACTATGAGCAATTATAAGTGATTAGGCAGGATAAATACAGAAAACTAGACATGTCTAGACATAGGTCGTTGATGATTATGCACTTATCTTCGTATTTAGTTATTGGAAGGAAATCTTAGGGTTTGATACAACAGGATGGCCGTGGAAAGAGTCTTTGGACTACATTGATGAACGACACCACGATCCAAGTGACGCTCGGGTGTGCACTATGCCCCCTAACTTTTAACCGAAGACGATTTTAACTCGTCTCGCTTCAAAAATTCGGAATGCATAATCACTAAGAAGACACGGTAAGAGAAGAGGAATAGAGATGCCTGTTAAAATCTATAAAAACCTCGTTTGCTGAAAAATATATCATGATTCTAAATAAACAGAGTTGAGGTTAGTTTATTTCAATTATTGATGGTATGGTACGTGGTAAAACCTANACTTTTAACCGAAGACGATTTTAACTCGTCTCGCTTCAAAAATTCGGAATGCATAATCACTAAGAAGACACGGTAAGAGAAGAGGAATAGAGATGCCTGTTAAAATCTATAAAAACCTCGTTTGCTGAAAAATATATCATGATTCTAAATAAACAGAGTTGAGGTTAGTTTATTTCAATTATTGATGGTATGGTACGTGGTAAAACCTACCATTTGAAACGCTGTGGATAAACACAGCCGATTCCTGTGAGGATAAGTCCTGCTTAAGAACTACGATGGTAAAGAGGTTACGAGAAGATCTCTACTAAAACTGGTGAAACTGGGTAGGTACCGTGAAACAATTATGCGTTACGCTTTTGACGAATGTGGCAGCTGGTTGTGTTATAAAACTGAGACTTAGAACTCACGTCTCAAGGTTGGAAAAGGCATGTACATCATTAATGGCTTAGGGCTCAGGTGATTTCTTAATACCGAGCGGGCCGTGACCACGTCTAACCAATAATAAAAAAAATAGCAAAAGGACTCCTCGTGGTAGGACGTGTTGTATGCCGTCATTATCATAATTCTGTCCAAATCTGGCCCAAAGATAAAAGACCTAACCCATTAGCTTCTTGCCAAATACCTTCAACGCCGAAATTACAAACCAAATCGGTGTTAATTCACAACCACTTAAGCGCCCCTATATCAAGGTATTACAATTCTGTCCAAATCTGGCCAAAAGATAAAGGCCTAACCCATTAGCTTCCTGCCCAGTGCCTTCAACTACGAAACTCCAATCCGAATCGGTGTTAATTCACGACTTAAGCGCCCCTCAAGGTCTAAATAAAAAACTTATAATTTGATTCTTAAATACAGCCAGTTCATACTTTAAAAGTACTTAACGCCAAGCCGAGGGACCTTCACTTGACCCCATTAGCGGCTCATCAGATGAGCGCGATATATAATTAACAGCATGCAACAAGCCACACCCTGTTTCCGTGCGAACGCTAAGAGCATTGAAGTATTTGCAACGATGTCTTAAGTTTTCAAGGGTCGATTTTTATAAGCCTCTCATATTCTGCATCTTGAAAAGGTCCTTCAATATCGAAAGCGTTCTAGAAATGGCGGTTAACGTTGACACGGTGGTCGATAGCGAGTGAACGATTGGGAGGGTTCCAGTTGCGCTGGGCCCTTTGCGTGCATTTGAAGTGGTTCGTTGAAGCAAAATCACGTGTACGTTTTGAAGATTAGGTCGATTTTACCTTGGCTATTTAGCATGAATAATAGGGCAAGATTGATAACAATAGTTTTGTTTTCAGTATTGTTCTTTTAAGAGTGTGCCGTGTAGGTGTAAATGCTCACTGATGTTCTTCTCAGTGGGTCGCGATTCCGATTCGGGGGTAGATTCTGCGAAGCACTGCTCTTACTAAGGTTAGTGTTAGCAAATTCTCTCAGGTTGAGCCCGTGAGCTCACCTACCCGTCCGGGCGTAGCTGGAATAGCCACTTTAGGCTACCAGCGAATAGGTAGCGGAAAAAAGCTGACTGATAAATATTTTTTTGATTCATTGAACAATCACTTGACGCACCCCTTTGTGGGTTGGAGAAAGAGGGAGGAAATCGAAACACGACTAAACTTTTGAGGCGAAATAGTTAATTAAAAAAGAACAGTAATCCTCCAGTGACGTAATATAAGATCCGATATTCAAATTTCGAATTCTCAAACGGTCTAATTTGATGTACGTTCGAATACAGAACACGATTCCCGCGCAAAGATGGCGTATCGCGCCTAATTGATCCATTGATTTGTCGTTTATCTGATTTAGTGTGGCGAATATCAATGGCGAGTATATATTACCTTAAACAGGGCCACGAAAGTGTGGTGCAAGCGTTCACGAATTGGTATAACATAACACGGAAATAGAAGGCATTTAAACGCTCTCTCCGCACAATTGGTACCACCACCACACTGCCTGAATTGGGCCTGATTTATAATACTTATTAAAAGTCTCTTGTATTCCTAAATGAATCATACAGATTGCGATTTTGACGTCCAATATATGGTTAGCGCTACCAAGTAGCTTGAAGGAGAGAGTCAGTTTTTAGCGAGTTTTTTTGGGGTTCTTTTGAGTTCTTTCGAAAAACCCGAGTAAAGTCTTAGTAAATTCCGACCTTTTCTATTTTATCCGAATATATTCAAGTCTCAAATAAATCAACTTCAACTCATTCCACTCCATATACTCGTAATAGGTATATACCTACACAACAAACTAAAGGTTTTTATAAATTCGACACTGGCAACAATGGCATCGCACGAAGCCGATTGCCATACTAAAAAACTTAATACGAAGGGACCTATAGTATACGATTCTTATGCGGTGGTAAATTCAGCGAAGTACTACTCCTTCTTTTTCTTTCTTTTTTATGTTTGAAGGATAGTACTGGTGGCCCGGAGGCCTTTTCAGTTTCACCAGGACAGGTACGCGAGCAAAGGCTCAGCCAGGAGGGGTGGGATTGGCTAACGGCTGCCCGAGCGCCTCCAAAAAGAAGACCTAACAACTCTAGAGCAGCTGCTTCGCGAATGAATCCGAAGCGCTGCTCTTGCTAGGGCAGACCTTAAAAAAATCTCTCAGACTGAGCCCCGTGAGCTCGCTATACACGGTGAAGCTAGCATAATCCCTTGAGTATACTGGCAGTAGATAGACAAAGAAAAAAAACTAAATCAAATTAGGACACGTTGTATCGCATCGAACCCACCCGATGGGATAACTTACACAAGTTAACTAAGTAATTTTACTTAATAAACATTGCGAAATATCAAAGTCTCACCTCGGTCGCAGGCGGCACGGTGGCTTGACGCCCCACGCCCCCTCTGTCACCCTGAAACAAAAAGAAACATCGGTTTCTAAGCTATTTTAGTCGACCTCCAAACAGGTGGTCCTTTTACTGGAGGTAGGACGTCTTATGAATCCGCATGGAAGATACCACCCTATTTTTTTTATTGCTTAGATGAGTGGAGAGCTCACGACCCACCTGGTGTTAAGTGGTTACTGGAGCCCATAGACATCTACAACGTAAATGCGCCACCCACCTTGAGATATAAGATCTAAGGTCTCAAGTATTCAACGGCTTATTTCTTCCATTTAGCAGTAATGCACTTTGCTTTAGTTTGAAGGGTGGGGCAGCCAATGTAAAAACTGAGACCTTAGAACTTACGTTTCAAGGCGGGTGTCAACATTTACGTTGTTAATGTCCATAGGCTCCGGTAACGGCAAATTATAATTTTGCGATTTTCATTTTTACTACCCGATGTTATTCCTTCACCGTGGAAGTCGATCGCGAACATTTGTTAAGCACGTATTTCATTAGAAAAATTGGTATCCCGCCTGCGGGATTGGAACACCGGTGCATCGTTAGATACAATTGCAACAAACGACTTATCCATTAAGCCACGAAGACTTCAAAATCCACCCAATTAAGCAATAAATTAAAAAAAAGGCCGGTATTCGTCGCCTAATTCGGTTCGATTGTTTTCCTTTTTAATACGCTTTTATTAGCTTCAGACGTATGTATGTATGTTTGCAACGGAATTTTTGAACATGATTTTGACCCCCTTCAAAACGTCGGATTAACTCTAAATTTGGTATACTTATTAAGGACCGATGACAATTCAATATTTAAAATAAAAACTGACAAAAATAAATTGAAAAAATTGAAATTCAACTAAAAAATGAAAAATATATGATATTATAACTACTTATACCATGCACCCCACGCTTTTTTACAATAAATACATTTTTTCTTACACCATATTTAATTCAAATTTATTAAAATTGATTTTCTATTTTTTAATTGGATTCTCTATAAAAGCATATTTTGTTACTTTTTTTAAACTATTTTTTACTGAACTTATATCTTCGCCCATATCTGTTATTACTGGACCGATTTTGAAAATTCTCTATTAGACTCAAAGTTGATTTTCTATTGTTTTCAGCCGTCATAGAACAGAAGATATTCGACAGGTGTCGCAATAACGCTATAGTCATTGTCAAGATATTATGTTTGCGTATTCACAAGTGCCGGATAATAAACAATAGTTTAAAAAAACTAACAAAATACGCTTTTATAGAAAATCCGACAAAAACAGAAAATAAATTTTAATAAATTTGAATTAAAAATAGTGTAAGAAAAATGATTTTATTGTAAAAAAGCGTTATTTATTAGTTGAATTTTCGATAAAAGCGTATTTGGTTAGTTTTTTTAAACTATTATTTATTTTTCATGTTTTAGTTGAATTTCAATATTTTTTTTAATATTGAATTATCATCGGTCCTTAATAAGTATACCAAATTTCGAGTTAATCCGACGTTTTGAAGGGGGTCAAAATCATGTTCAAAGATACCGTTACAAACATACATACGTCTGAAGCTAATAAAAGCATATTAATAAACTTTCAGAGCGCTGGTACATCGAACAACCCGCTCGGTGGAAGAACTGCCTCCTTTGACGTTACGTCCAAACATTGTTTAATTTTTTTATTGCTCTTGTAGACAGACCAGCGTACGGCCCTGGTGGTAAGTGGTTACCGTCGCTCATTGACGTCAGTAATTCGAGAGCAGAGTCGATTCAAGAGCCGTTACAACCGTTGTAGCAAAACAATCGAGAGCTATCTTCTAACTCAATGTTTGAGGGATTTTATAACATCCTCACCTAAATGCAGGTCCAATATATCGTCTTCTCGCATTAAAACTGTATAATCTCAAAACTTACTAATTTTACAGGAGAGTGTTTTAAAGGTTTAACATTTGATATTTTTAATATTAATCATCTTTGCAACATTTTTTTTTTACCTGTTACATTATCTGTCTTTGAAAGTAAGATAAAATTATGTATTAATTTTGTTAATTGTATTATAAAAATGGGTAAATTAAAAAAAAATTAAAACTTAACTACGCTCTTTTGACAGTATTTATGAGAAAAATACTGGTGATACCAAATTATTCCGCATACTAAATCAATTTCGAATATTTTTAGAAATTGTACACTTTTAATGCGGAAAGACGATATTACAGTCTATTTGCGTGAATAAAAACCCGCGGCGCGCCGTAGCAAAGCTCTCAACAAAATCCAAATGACATAACAAAATTCACATCGCGCAGCCGCCGCTAAACCGAAAGCACCGTGACACATAGCTTTCGCGCTTATCCAGCTTTGATTTACTAAAACGAATGCGTATTTCGTAAACGTTTAAGGACAAGCCCGGCGACGGTGAACGGTTATGGTGGCCGGCCGATGGTCCGGTGAAAGCACGAAATGTTAGGTTCCCACGATACAGTTACGGCCGTGTGATTCGCACGCGTTGCACCTTCGAAACGATACGCACACACTTTAAGAACGTACAGCATGTCGTCAAGCTTGTTCGTTCAACATAAATTTGAATGCCTTTATTTTATTTTATCTTATTTATTTATTACTAGCTGACCCGGCAGACTTCGTAGTGCCTCAATCAATTTTGTACAAAATAAACTTAAAAAAAACAAAAGGAATCCGTCCGACGGGGACACATCAAAGAAAAAACAAAATTGTTTGTTTTTATATAATTCCGAGCATTTTTATATTTATTCACCTTTTAAGCCTTCTCTGGACTTTCACGAATAATTCAAGACCAAAATTAGCCGAATCGGTCCAGCCGGTCTCGAGTTTTAGCGAGACTGAAGTAGTCGTGGCCTAACGGATAAGACGTCCGGTGCATTCGTGTTGAAGCGATGCACCAGTGTTCGAGTCCCGCTGGCGGGTACCAATTTTTCTAATGAAATACGTACTCAACAAATGTTCACGATTGACTTCCACGGTGAAGGAATAGCATCGTGTAATAAAAATGAAACCCGGAAAATTATAATTTGCGTAATTACTGGTGGTAGGACCTCTTGTGAGTCTGCACGGGTAGGTACCACCGCCCCGCCTATTTCTGCCGTGAAGCAGTAATGCGTTTCGGTTTGAAGGGTGTGGTAGCCGTTGTGACTATACTGAGACCTTAGAACTATATCTCAAGGTGTGTGGCGCATTTACGTTGTAGATGTCTATGGGCTCCAGTAACCACTTAACATCAGGTGGGCTGTGAGCTCGTCCACCCATCTAGCTTTAAAAAAAAGGTGGACCAACAAAGTGATCTTCAATATCAAACATTGACAAACTGACAAAAGTTCATGGCAGATGTCACCTCCATTATAGGTGCAATCGACAGTGCATTAACAACAAAAATAATAAAAATTATATAACTAAGATTTGATTACATTTGATTGATTGCATAAGATTAATTTATATTTAATGGGGAAATGATCAGCGACTGATTATCTAAGGAAAACCTTTCTAAACGCATAACAATGATACCTATTGTGAATTTATGGGATCTATCGACGCAAAGAAATTACAGTTTATCGCTTGCTTGTCAATTATTATACCTACATAATCATGATATATGATTTGAACGCTCTCTGTAAACTATTCTACTTAATATTATAAGCGCGAAAGTTTGTAAGAACGTATGGTATGTTTTTTATTCTTTTAGACAAAAACTAATGAATGGATTTTGATGAACCTTTACAACAATATAGCTTACACTTCAGAATAATATACATATAGGCTATAACTTATAAAGATACTAGCGACCCGCCCTCGGTTCGCTTCGGAAACTGTAATTTATTATTGATTTCTCCACTATTTAATGGATGTTATTATACATATAAACCTTCCTCTTCAATCACTCTATCTATTAAAAAAACCGCATCAAAATCCGTTGCGTAGTTTTAAAGATTTAAGCATACATAGGGATATAGGGACAGAGAAAGCGACTTTGTTTTATAGTATGTAGTGATAGTGTGAATTACACAAAATATAACGATAAGCGTCAAGTAAAAGAGAAAAAAAAATTACCCTTTGCATCTATTCTGCCGTGCGCCGCCAAAACCGTTGGAGTTACACGTACATAATGTAAAATGGAAAAGTTTATCTTCAATAGTCCTACAAAAAACCCTTTACAGTTCCCGAAACGAACAAGAGCGGGTGGCTAGACTTTGTGTTACATGTATTTTGTAGACTACGTATGTTTTTTATACACCAATTTCAATAAAAACGTTATATACATATAAAAGTAGAATGGGCAATCTTATCGTTAAGACCGATCTCATCTAGACATCCACGATTTTTTTTTTTTATTGCTTAGATGTATGGACGAGCTCACAGCCCACCTGGTGTTAAGTGGTTACTGGAGCCCATAGACATCTACAACGTAAATGCGCCACACACCTTGAGATATAACCATTTGAGGAACAAAACATTTTTTTTCGTACACAATCCTAAGGGGCTATTCTAGTTACGTACGGTTTAGTAGGGGCTCTACATGAGAGAAATTGGTAAGACTAAGCTTAGTATGAGCAATATTTTTTTTATATTTTTTTTATTCATTAGATAGGTGGACGAGCTCACAGCCCACCTGTTATTAAGTGGATACTGGAGCCCATAGACATTTACAACGTAAATGCGCCACCCACCTTGAGATATAAGGTCTCAGTATGGTTACAACGGCTGCCCCACTCTTCAAACCGAAACGCATTACTGCTTCACGGCAGAAATAAGCAGGGCGGTGGTACCTACCCGTGCGGACTCACAAGAGGTCCTACCACCAGTACAAGTAGAGAGAGAGAGAATAAACTTTATTGCACACCAACACAATGTACATTAAAAAAAAAACAGTCTAAAAGCAGATACATTTGTACAATAGGCGGTACAAGTACTACAGGTCCTACCACTCGTACATGTTGCCCGCGCTTGCCGGCCGTGTGTATTACATCAACGCAAGGCCGCCTTCAAACAACATCCAACGAAGGTTGCGAATGTTTTGCGTCTAAAGATGAGTAACACTCACATTCAAGATTAGAATGCAGACATGATACGTTTATAATAAAATGATAATAATAAAATCATTTATTGTCTTTCACACAGATTTAAATTATTATAGGTAGATAAAGAAAAGAAAAAGCAAAAGGAGGTGGCTCAGCTGATGCTGTTCTTTTTTTTTTGTTGCTTGGATGGGTGGCCGAGCTCACAGTACACCTGGTGTTAAGTGGTTACTGGAGCCCATAGACATCTACAACGTAAATGCGCCACCCATCTTGAAATATAGGTTCTTAGATCTCAGTATAGTTACAACGGCTGCCCCGCCCTTCAAACCGAAGCGTGTTACTGCTTCACGGCAGAAATAGGCAGGGTGGTGGTGCTTACCCGTGTGGACTCGCAAGAGGTCCTACCACCAGTGATGTTGGATGCATCGAATAGCGCTGATTTTCAGTCACCCCCGTTCCGTCTTTGGTTTATTGTCGGATTTAAGGCTAGGTACGTCTGCACTCTATACAGACTTTAAACGTGGTATAAACTACATTTGTAGCGATGGTTCCTCTTTGAGGAATCCATCGACAACGAATATTCTTTTTTTTTATTACTATATTTAGGCAAACGTTATCATGGTGCAACTCACCCACAGATATAAGATAGAAGTCTCGTTGTATAGCTTAGTTGTATTTTTCGAAGTTCGAAACGGAGCTTGCCTTATGGCTAGTGGCCGACAATGCTAGCGGACATCAGCAAAAGCTATGCCGCCTAACACAGCTTTTCTCAACCCTAAAAGCCATGTGGCTCGAGGAATACCGTGGAGGAAAGAGAGAGCTGATTCCAAAGCCGGTTCCAGGCGATATCGACAGACTCTGTACCGGTCTCGGGAGGACTGATTCACTATGGTCAAAACTTCAGAACGGCGCATACAGTAGCAAATCGATAAAATTAAATTTTCGCTGTCATCTACCCTCTTTAACATCCTCTAGTCTCAGTCCAGTCCAATATCCAGTTCTTCTGCCAATTCGTTTGTGGGAGATACCTTTCTAAATGAAAAACGAAAAATGGTAGATCTTCCACCGAGCGAGTGATATTGCTCAGTAGACCGACGAAGCTGAAATAGCCTCTCAAGGCTATCAGCATAGATAGAAAAAAAAAGCTGAATCTACCACAGTATCTGATTCAACGACTCCAGTTTCCGAGTCTCCAGCCCTGAACACGGCGCTTTTGGCTCGTCCAAACATCGAAAACTCATTAAATGTCAAAATCGTGGCTAAAAAGCCCTTAAATAATAGCGTGTGTACAGTCACACGATACGGAATTTTAAAATTTTCCACTGCCCTACGTCCGACAGAGCTGACACGGTTACTTAAGGCCTTCACCCAGTAACAAGGCGCATCATAATACCGTGTTCGAGTTAGTACTGCGTAGAAAACACGATCCACGTATCGTTGTAGTGATCAAATTATTTGGGGGGCATGGGGCACAGTGGCCCCTCGGGTATCTGGATCTAGGTCTGTCTTTTTTGTTGGGTACAACGAAAATTAAAGCAATTTTCACCACAAGTCTTTGACGTGCATACACGTGCTTTCTGTGGTCTGCAATACGAAGTTAAGCCCAGGTATACCGAAAGCTCAACGGCCTATATACTTGTGATATAAATTTGAAAGTTTGTATCTTTAGATATTTGTTGTACGACCACGCAAAATAACTAAGCGAATTCTATGAGGTTTCGAAGAGAAATTGTACGGAACTTGGACTAACAGATCCTATGCTCTTTATCAGTATAAATGTCGTGATCTGGAGGAGGATCATTTGGAGGCAGCATTTAACAGGCAGTATACCTCACAGCGTATCGATGTTCATGGAAGTACTTGCTTACGTGTGGAAACGATCCTTAGTAATGAGGGAACAAAAAAGAAGAAGACATGAACCAGGAAGAGCCGGCTTTGTTCGCTGGTTCGTATATTTACGCCCCCCGCCCCTCTTTCTCTCTCTCTCTATCTCTTCAATCGGTCCCTCATTACTGCGGATCGTGACTCCGTTTGATTCCGTCAACCAGCTGTCTCCATCGATCCCGTTCTGTAGCTTGTTGGAGTGCGTTGCTGACGGATATTTTCAGTTCCTCCAAGTATATTTACCAAGAGATCTAAAAGTCGGCTTACAGCTCATTGACCAGAGAGTGACACAAGCAAACTATTTACTGCGAGAAAATGCAAAATCTGTCTTTAAAGTGGATGAAACGGAGAGGTCGTACGTCTGTTAAGAAAATTAATGAATGCTCGAGTTTGTTCGTAAATAAAGCCTTGCACTTCATATTTCAGCCGTAGGGACGTAGCTCACATAGTACAGTGTACTTAGTGCGAGTTTTTTAACTTTAAGATCGCGTAAAAGTTTTTTTTTTATTGCTTAGATGGGTGGACGAGCTCACAGCCCACCTGGTGTTAAGTGGTTACTGGAGCCCATAGACATCTATAACGTAAATGCGCCACCCACCTTGAGATAAGTTCTAAGGTCTCAGTATAGTTACAACGGCTGCCCCACCCTTCAAACCGAAACACATTACTGCTTCACGGCAGAAATAGGTGGGGTGGTGGTACCTACCCGCGCGGACTCACAAGGGATCCTACCACCAGTTAACTCGAATTTGTATAGAGTTGGAACAGCTTCCTTTCGTTTGCCGCTAGGGTCGCTGTTCCAACTCCATACAAATCTGAGTAACTTTTACGCGATCGAGAACGTTAAAAAACTCGCACTAAGCACACAGAAATAATTTTACAGTTTTCTGAATAACTAACTAACGTTATTTTCAAGATATGGAAGAGTGAAGAAGTCTCGGAACTGTCATCGTTTTGTGCTGCGCAATCTCTTTGTACGAATACCCGCCTACTATTCCATAAAATAATGAAGTTATCAGCCCATTCTGCTACATATATTATTATAAATATATAATATAAATAAATATTAATAAGGAATACGATCACTTACCATGTAAACCATAAAGCGCTCGGAGGCTTTTCTTCATAACAGCTTTTTGGAATTACCTGGCGAAAAAATAGCAAATATTAAACTTAGTGCTCTGAGGAATTGTTCGAGATGATACCGGCATCTCGTTTTTACCATCGCACCGCCCGCCACCGGAGTAGAGTTCATCCATACTACCTGGAGCCACTGCGGTCATCCACAGTGCGTTTCCAGAGGTTTTTTTTGCCACGTACCATCCGGCTATGGAATGAGCTCCCCTCCACGGTGTTTCCCGAGCGCTATGACATGTCCTTCTTCAAGCGAGGCTTGTGGAGAGTATTAAGCGGTAGGCAGCGGCGTGGCTCTGCCCCTAGCATTGCTGAAGTCCATGGGTGACGGTAACCACTCACCATCAGGTGGGCCGTATGCTCATCTGCCTACAAAGGCAATAAAAAAAAAACTTAATTAATTTAACTTATATTTCAGAAATGCGAGCGGACCTCGTGTTGTTTTACAAAACTGGCGCGCGCTCCATGAATCTCGATGCAACGTAACTTAGTTACGTGTGACGTCATTTGGGGTCAAACTGTACAGCTAACTAGCTATAGATCATAATTGAACGATTAGCCACATATGACATCATTAAGTTCGGTGCTTCGCTCAACGTGATATTTTATACAATTTTTTTTTTTTTTAAATATCTTGAAAATATAAATTGTTTATTATTTCATAGGAATAGTGATTGAGTTTTGATTTAATCAACACCCTTTAAAGCCTTTGAAATTGTTTTGTTATTTGCTGCCAATTCCATTGAAGCAAACGTAAACTTCGTCTTCATCTTCATGCCCTTATCTCACTATGTAGGGTCGCTGTCCTCTTTTCCATTCAGGTCTACCATACATCATACATTTCCACACAAATTCTCTTTCACACAGTCTATCCAAATCTTTTATTAATTGAACAAAAGATATGGTTATTCATACATTGTTCATGTACCGTGATGAGGTCACTTTGCCATGGAAAAGTCTACAAAGTGATTAAAAAGTGTTTAAAAATATGAACACACATCACTATACCCTTTTCATGTATGTCCAATATTTAATTGAAAAGTCAAATCAGTAACTTCATCAATGCACTGCAATTTTGTTTTCTTTTTTTATATCGATAAGACAAATTACATATATCCAATGATTTATCGGTCTATTGAAATACATTATATAATGCCCATAGTCCCACTGAGTGTTTAGTTGCTTGTCAGAGCCAATATAGCCCACAACAGTGCCACCACCTTGTCCACCTTGACCCATAGGACAAAGTGTCTATCGTTGTCATACCCTGTCTTCTTACTCTTCAAGCCGGAAAGCATGCATGTCATTATGCCATTTCCTAATGGCTATCCCACTAAGGCCTATCTTTAGTACCAGGAACTGGCTGACTGGCTCAGTAGGCAGCTTAGCTCTACCCCTGGCATTGTAGACGTCCAAGGGAGATGGTAACGTCTCACCATCAGGTGGGCTGTAGGGTGTATCTGCCTACAATGGCTATAAAAAATACTGGACATATTGGGAGCCAGTATAGGGTGATACTAGTTTCCTGCCAATTTCAAACGTGAATATATAATCAAGTCCAGTACAGAGCAGTTTGATGTAATCCTGCATATTCTCTGTTCGTGTGCATTAATAAACAATAAAAATACAGGAAAAATATACTCACTGAGTGTGGCAAGCAGAAACCGCATTTTTTTGTTTTTGTTAGTAAATTTATGCATAATTATTCATAAATTAAATCTAATACTGGCCTTATCATACAAAAAAAACTTTTATAACATTTTAAATTTTTTAAATTGTATTTGTAAATTTAGATTACTAATGCATTATACTGGTCGTTGTTTTTATATTTAAATAAATATATGTATTTTAAATAATTCTTCACATTTTTTGTATCTATATAAATTCGTTCGTTGTTGACATCTGAAACAAAAAATAAATTTTCTCTATTTAAAAAACTGAATAAAACAAACATAAACTTATTAATTGATGTACCTAGTAAATAAATGATATAAGATATAGTAGATAAAGTTTGGGGAAAAGTTCTATTGCAATGTTTCTATGCAGCATTGATACAACAATATTGGACTCGCAATACAGTCATTGGACAAACTTAGAATATCTGCAGCATTCAGTTTATACCAAACTAGATGTAATGTACGCAAATGCCTACAAATTCAACTAATAAGTGTGCTTTATGCAGATACTATGTATTGACAGATTTTAGTTTGAGATTGTTCAGTTCTTCACAAATATAGATGACTAGCAACCTGCCCTCGCTTCGTTTCGGAAACTGTAATTTATTATGGATTTCTCCACTATTTAATGGATGTTATTATACACATAAACCTTCCTCTTCAATCACTATCTATTAAAAAAACCGCATCAAAATCCGTTGCGTGGTTTTAAAGATTTAAGCATACATAGGGACAAACAGATATAGGGACAGAGAAAGCGACTTTGTTTTATACTATGTAGTGATTATATCTTGAAGTTAATTAACTTAACTTTTAACTTAACAATTTTAACAGCACCAAAGTAATTTATTACACTATTATGAAAAACTCATTTTTTTAACAGTATGAAAATCATAAAAAAAAATTTAGAAGCAATTCCCTCTAAAAATGAGATTTAAAAAGTTACAGTCAAAGGATTGTCAAAATATTCTTCCTAATCGTAATTAATGGTGATGGAGAATAATATTATATGATTAAAATATATAGTCTTTTGATATTCTAAGTTTCTAAAAAAGTTTTTATGTAAAGTTTAAAGCATGTTTTGTCTGATAAAAATAACAAAAAAAATCTACTTTAATTGTAATTTGTACATTTAGACAACTTGTCCACCTTCAATAAATTAAATTTACAAAGTAAACACGAACTATTAAATTAGATTGAATGACAAATAGGCTGTCTTACAGTTTTCTTGAAACTGCAATGAAAAGGGCCAAAAGTTTTGAAAGTTCTTTACCTAAACTAATTGTACAGGTTTTCAGCCTTCATATCACAAATTCCCGTTATCGAACACATATATCACAGATTAAAAACAAACTTGGTGAATTTTCTAATTTTTTTTTTCACTATTTCGAAATAAGTTTCCGCAACGAATTACATGTGAAAACACGATTTTCGCAAACGTCACTAGGTAAATATTTTCATTGAAATGTCAAAAATTGTATGAACCGTACATTACAATGACAACTTAGTTAACATTCCGCTGCTTGCACATATCAACATTTTAATTTAGACGGATTAAAAAAGTATACCGCAAAAAGGTGTTCTCTGGATGCGTTCGATTTGTGTGATTTCGCGGCAAATTTTGCTTTGCAGACCGCTACTCAGCTGTAACGGCCTTGTAATACTGTTCAAGTTGCTAAGCGGGATTTTAAAATATTGTCCGNACAATGACACCTTAGTTAACATTCCGCTGCTTGCACATATCAACATTTTAATTTAGACGGATTAAAAAAGTATACCGCAAAAAGGTGTTCTCTGGATGCGTTCGATTTGTGTGATTTCGCGGCAAATTTTGCTTTGCAGACCGCTACTCAGCTGTAACGGCCTTGTAATACTGTTCAAGTTGCTAAGCGGGATTTTAAAATATTGTCCGTTCGCCTTACCTCGGTCGATTTACTCGACCGGATAATGTACTTTACGCTTACAATACCATAATGATTACAGGGACAATTACGTTCACAAAATACTCTGCCGTTGCGTGTCAACCATGCTATTTTAGCTCAATGACCCTATTCAAATAATTACCGCTCAAGTAACGTGAAGTACGTGTTGCATTACAAGTTACATTAACGACTTAAAAAGATTTTCTTCATATTTTCCATGGACAGTGCCATCTACTGTTTAGTAGCAGTACTTATTGAACAAAATCTCATCGAAAAAAAACAATATTCGCACAATGATCGTAATTCAACCATTTAAATTTTTTGTAGATATTTAGAAAAAAAAAACCAAACCAATTTCGAAAAAAAAACTTTCAAAAAAAAGGTAAATGAACAGAGGAAGTCTTTTGATACTTATAACTTATAATTTTAATTAATTTATTTTTAGAAGAATGATTGAATGTATACCTAAAAATACAGAAAATACAAATCAGTACGACTAGTATAAAAAAATTAGTTGGTTTACCTACCGAACCAATACCTTACTATAGCATAAAATAGAAATAATTTATATGTAGGTAATCAACTATATTATTTATGTAATGTGGTGGAACTGAAAAATGCAAATCAGTATAAATCTTTACATTCCTAAGTACTCATTTAAAAATATATACACCTATATTGTTGATTAGAAATATTTTTGGCGGGACCGATAGAAATTAATTTATGTAAAATAATTTATTTCATTATTAATTTAGTTTCTATTCAGTTTGAATGTGTAATAATAGTGCATTATTAACCTTTTAGCATCTCTTATAGTGCAAAATATTGAGTAACCGAATTAAAATAGATAGTGGCTTCTCGGTATGTCCGCGCATAGTCGAAGTATTTGAAGTCGTCATAGCCTAAAGGATAAGTCAAAACGTACAATAAAAAACTGAAAATCAAATTCAAAATAATTTTAATACAGATTGTCTATATTAATTTATTGCGATTGGCCCCCTTAACTAAATTGCCCTCTTGCGGTGCGTGGGCCCCACGTTGGGAAACACCGGCCAAGCCATTTCTGCCGTGACGCAGTAACGCATTCCCTTTTGGAAGGGTGAGGCATCCGCTATAAAATTGAGATTTTCACGTTCCAATGTGGAGACATTCACGTAGTGATGTCTATGAGCCCCAGTAAGCATATCAACGGGATCGCTCACCCATATCAGCCTAAATGCTGATGTGACCTTGTTACATTTGCTTATCGTAGTCCACCAAACTCCATCTTCAAGAACAAGACAATCTAAGCAGATACCCATTTCGGGAGTTCCAGTCTCCCAAGGCCACTTAATACGTCAACTGTCACTTTATACAAATGTCAATGTCAACACGTGGTTGTGTGCGCATTTTATGACGGCACATTTAATTCAATTTTATCTTGGTGTTCCTTAATTATTTTTTGAAATTATCTATTGTATTGTCGAGAATTATAAATGGAGTGATTATTGCTATATTTATTTTATCGGAATATCGTCTCGGTACCTGATAAGCGATGTCTACCCGAAGATGTCTAAGAACTCTCAATGATAGTCGAAAGATTTCAAGCTTTTTTAGAGAAAAGAAAGAAAAAAAACAAATTATTTCCGATCAAAATTATTTTTTATTATAAAAATGCAAAAAATGCCTCTTCTAGAGTTAATGACTCTTGAAATTATTAGCTTGTTATTATCTTCCGTCTCTTCTTGTAATGCGCAATCTTTTCGTGTAGCGTTGCTGAAAATTATAATCATATTTATTGCACTGCAAACATTTGAAAGACGCCTTCCAAGCAACTGGTTCTGATGATGTCCACGGGCGATGGCGACCATTCACACGCACAACGCCGATCGCAAATCTGTGTTTTGCAGTACCACGGCTGTCCCTCGCTTTCAATTGGAACTCTCGGGGTGGTGGAACATTCCGTGCGTGCTCATAAGACGCCGTACCACCAGTAATTGCACCAATTAGTATTTTTGAGGATTCGATTTTTAATACACGATCTTTTATTCCTTTAGCGATCTACTGAACTAGGTTCAATATAGAAAAAAAAATCGTAACATTCAATTATAAAAGCTTCTAAAGTTTTACCAAAAAACCCTTTAGGCTCAAGTACCAGTTCTCACCATTTCTCCAATAAAATTATTATCAACAAAAATTGGTTTAAAACTCGACTCTCCAATCAAATCAAATCAACATTTTTTTATTCAACATAAATGAAAGTACATACTTGTTGAACGTCAAAAGAACTACCGCTAATTCACAAAAACTAGCCGCCGTCCTGAGAAGAACTGGCAAGATGTTCAGCTCAGCGGGAATGTTTTTTTTTTAAATATTAGTTTTTTTTAAATATTAGATTTTTTTTAAATACCAAACACCCGAATGAGTTTTGTATCTTATGTAACCTACTCATCGGCACAACAAGCTTGTGTTTGTTTCTAATATTTAGTATAATCGTAAAACCAGTACAATTACCAACTAACTTGTTATTTATTTTAAAGGCTTACCCTGATGCTGAAATAGGCTGGTACAGCGCTAATTCGACCCTAATTGGATTCAAAATTCCTTATCAACTATGAATTCATTTACAGTACCCGGCGATAAATACTGCACACGTCACATAAGTGCGACAGAGACAACGCTCTACAAAGCCGAACTTAGCCGACTCTCTCTTTCCAATTGTCGATGTGCAGTATCCATCGCCGGGTACTGTACTGCTGTCACTTACAACATGTGGGTCTTTTCATCAATGGAGTGTAATTTTTCGGTTTCACCCCTTGCAGCAAGCACGCCGCGTACGACACGATTTCGTCTCGCTCGCACTCGTCATGGGCCCTGTCTTCCATCTCGCTCGCCAGAGGAACCTTTTCTAGCTCGCGTATGTAATCTTGAATCATCGTTGTCCTGTCAAATAGAACCGCTGGTATTCTCACTATGCTATACGGTTCAAATTCCAATGGCAGGTCCCAAGTTAATCGAACTAAAAAATGGAACATGTCGCTTCTTGCCGGGACCTAGCGTTATTGTCACGTCCGATCCGTAAACTACCGGTCGCATAGCAACGGTCGCCATGGCGACGGTTGTTATGCGCGTTCGTTTGTTTACGAGGGTAGTTGAACATTCTAGATGCTATCTACATGGAATCAGTTATTAGTCAGCGTTTCCATCGCAGAAAGGAAGTGTTCATGCCGTATATAAATTTACCCTACGTTTACTTTCGGCGATTAGAGGCACGCAGAAAGGTTCCCTGGTGGAGGGTACCTGACCACACTTCGCAATCACTTTGCCATTGTAATTGAATACGTGAGAAGATGAAGGGGCTAAGTACCATTTTAAAGATCGCAAAAATGTCGCAATATTATAATTTCTTTTTTTTATTACCGGTTTATATTTCCAAACACTAAATCAATACTAACATTCTCTTTGGTTGGAGAGTTGCTTATTTTAGCCCCTTATGACGTCACCTGTGGGAAGCGCGCTACACAGCACGGGCCATTGACAAACTAAAACTCACTTTTTTTTTTAATTGGCTCAAACGCCTTATGCATTGATTTTGCCAATGTCACAAAAATAACAGGTGCTTAGAGAAAACAAAAATTATAAATACAAATAGATTTGATCAGTTCTTCCATACGCGAATCTGTGATTTTAAGAACAGCACAAACAAATATGTCAGACTAACTATTATAAAGATAAATATTATTAGTAGATGAAAACTCACTTGACGGCGTGCATAGTCCATTCCGTTCTCAGATCAGATATGAGAGTGATCAGTGCTTCTCTTTCGTACACCCATCGATTGGTATCTTCTATCTCGTACGCACATTTGAACAAATTCAATGGGAGGTCAGAGGCCATGCTGTATTGCGGTTTTCTGTGGACGTTAAAGATATCTTTGTATTTTTTGTCACTAGACGCGTGGATCTATTGTTGACAGTGTGCTTAGTGCGAGTATTTTAACGTTCTCGATAGCGTAAAAGTTAAAAACAGCGCCCCTAGCGGCAAACGTAGGCAAACGTTCCAACTCCATACAAAATTTGAGTTAACAGTGGTTAATTTAGTCTAGAGTCGTTGCGTCCTGGAGACATAATGGTCAAATATAAAAATATTGTAACTATACTGAGACCTTAGAACTTATATCTCAAGGTGGGTGGCGTATTCACGTTGTAGATGTCTATGGGCTCCGATAACACCAGGCGGGCTGTGAGCTCGTCCTCCCATCTGAGAAATAAAAAAAAACAAACAAAAAAACTATTGATTAAGGTTTACGAATCGAAGACGTGGGTGTTTAGCTGCAGAAATAGGTTGAATTTCAGGATAAGATAAAAAACCAAAACTGCTCCGAAAAATAATTAAAATCGAATTTAATTATTAAGACAGTTGATGGTAGTTCGTTCGCTTCGCTTTGAATAGGGCTGTCCGTCATGTCGTCCATACCAAATATGGTCGCTTCGACAATGCCTAAAATATTCCAGAACATTCCCGACGGAACTAGAGCATTCAAGAGATGTTCTGGCCTCGTGGATATCGTTTTTTATTTGTATTTTTGACCACATATGGCGGCGTTACTCGTACCGATAAAACGCTATACGAATATGCCATATGTGCCTATTTAGATTTGAGGACAGGAGTAGTGATCAATTTTCCCATTTCAGTTTTGTTTTTTGCTATTTGACAACAGATGGCGTTGCTCGTATGACAGTACAAAAACCACTCACCCCCGATTCTTCTCAACGTCCAACAATTCTAACACCACGTCAGGTCTTTCTTTTTCTTCTCCTATCAGCAGTAAGACGCCCATAATGCAACGTATCTGATGCCACAGAAATGCGTTTCCTTCTATCAGCAGATAGTACATTGATGTTGCTAGATTATTTTTTTCAATAGTCATCACCGGAGCCATGCATGAAAAAAAAACACGAATTGAAATAAATTTTACGTTACTGGTAGCAGATATTTGTCCTTGCCGTCAGCCCAACTGATGGGTGAGTGCTAGCTGCAGTCTTAAGAGACTGAGTTAATTAGGGTTAACCTACAAGTTTGGCTTGAGGAGATATATGTTAGTGCTGAGCTGCTAACTCCAGTGCACTACAGTTCTATTTAGCTTAAGCTGATACCATAATATCAACTAATAGCAGTCGAAAAACTAGAATTAAATGTTTTTGTTCCAAACCACGTAATGTATCACAGATGACCCACAAGGTCAACGGACTCTTGCGACAAGATGTCTACACTATTCATTGTGCTTACCCAAATATCCCAAAAATTTGATAAATCGATATTTATAATTGCGATAATGTAATTATAATGTTCTGTCATTGTCTTTTTATTGCCTTTATACTACCTGATGGTAAGAGTAGTTACTGTCACTCATGGATATCAACAATGCCGGGGCATAGCCAAAATGCTGCCTACTCTCTACGGATGCTTAAAAAGATACTATAAAACAATCAGAATAACTCACGTTTGTCAACATCATTAACATCGACAGGTACGATGTCAACATTCATTATTCTTCTTATAAATTCCAATACACCATTACCGACGTCCATTTTACAGAGATGGCGGAAATCGTGCGACCCGATCATGTGACGGCACGCTTCCAGCATGGCGGGCAGGTTTAGCCCGGAATGCGGGAAATAATATTTGTAGGAACGTTTTTTACAATCGAATCTGAAAACATAAAATGCCTTGTAGTCAGTGCTACATAGTTCAATAAAAAGGTAGGGAAAACTCTAGATACCTGACAAAAAATACAGTTATTCATGATCGCTTCATAAAATACTTAAAACAATGATCTCCATCAATGCAGCTTCCAGCTTTGGCCATAAATAAAAGATTTTTGCATTACAACCATCCCTTTGTGCAATGATGATTAGACTAACTTACCGTGCACTGTAATCCGGTCTGTCCTGCGGTATCGGCATCCAAGCAATAACCTTTATATGTTTGGGCAACAGACGATTCAACAATTTACTATACGGAATCTCATTTCTAATGCAGCTCGGTTTGTTTTGTTCCTCCGGTGAATGTTTACTCCTTAGGCATATCGATATGACCTAGAACAAGCACAATGGTTCTTTATTCTAAGACTGACAAGTGCAACCAATAATGACCTGTATATGTCTGTGAAATGTTTGAGAATATTGATTCAAGGTGTTGAAACAACTCTTCAAGTTGACTATACGTTTGTACCCTTAGCTATAAAAGAATGAAGATGGTTAGAAGAATAGGTGATGGAATAGAAGATGGTCAACTAAAATCTCTATCGCACTAAAGAAATTTATTTACAAATTAATCTAGAATTTGTTTACAAAAATTCCGAACAACAACATTTAGACTGTCGCCTACACAGAAATATGACACACTTGTGGGAAGATCTTCCTATTTGTCATTCACTTCCTGAGATCTCTATTCCACTACTAATACCAGATGGAATTAATGATGTAGGTGGTCTTATTACTTGAATGAAACCAGTTTTATAATTACTTGAAATAATGGTACTGTCACATGATAGATAGATGATCTTGTAACAAATACATATGTAAACATATTTACCTGCCCAAACGAGCTAACTCCCTTGTCTGTACGACCACATCGGTGATAATTAGAGGTTTCTCGGCTTTGTATCAAACAGGCCCTTTTCAAGGCTTCAAAAAGATGATATTCTACTGTTTGTGTTGTATTCTCCTGTACAGCCAGACCTTGGTATTCCCAGCCAAGGTACGATACCCTTAGGAGGACATGACGATAATGGCATCTGGCAAAAACAATTTTATGTATTGTACTATATGCCTATTATATGCTATAATTTTAATATTGAATCTTATTTATAAAACTGAACTATTGTATGGAGTGCTAACATTAAGTTTATTAATATTCAGATGAGATAAGATCAAGAGTTGGATGAGAGAAGCCAAGGATCGTGATCAGCACCTTGGAATTGGAGTGACCTATGTCCAGCAGTGGACTGATATATGCTGATGATGATGAAGATTTAGATAATTATCTAATAGTTAATACGAGAATGTAAATGCACGTAACATGAACAAAAATAATGAATATATATAACGAATATTTTTTCAAGATATTTTTTTTATAAGGAAGATATTTTATTGAAAAATGCATTTACTACTATTGAGTTTGTGTTTATATAGTGGGTTTATGTATTATGTAGGGTCATAATGACAAAGGACACGACAGTTTGCAAACTGGTTAATGTGCAATGACTCGACACAGACTAAACTAAAGGCTATTGAAAAATGCATGCTTTAGGAATTCAATTTATAAACTTACTTTTCAAACATAAATTCTCTTTGGTCTACTTTTTTCTGCTTTTGGCCATCGCAAGGTGTAGTTTTATTTATGATGTTTTTCAGCTGTGTATTATGGGCTTGCAACTGTATTATTTTCTCGACGAGATCCTGCCGTAATTAATTTTTGTGTTAGTAAATAATGATTATTACATGCAGAGGAATTTCACGTTTTTNCAATTTATAAACTTACTTTTCAAACATAAATTCTCTTTGGTCTACTTTTTTCTGCTTTTGGCCATCGCAAGGTGTAGTTTTATTTATGATGTTTTTCAGCTGTGTATTATGGGCTTGCAACTGTATTATTTTCTCGACGAGATCCTGCCGTAATTAATTTTTGTGTTAGTAAATAATGATTATTACATGCAGAGGAATTTCACGTTTTTAATATTTTTTACATTTTTGTCCAACTTTAAAAGTTCCTCTCTTGTTGCGTTCCGGTTAATCTTCTGTTTTGGTGGCAGTTTTTCCATATCTTAACGAGTTTAATATTACTGTTTCAGGCACATGTCGTATATTTTAATACAACCCTATATTCCAGGCATAGTTAATATGTACACTTAAATTCACATATGTATTTTATTTATGAAGAAGAGAAGAACAGATCATATAATTGTATAATCTATGGAACAGATCGTTGAAGTATAGGTAGGTAGGTAGGTATTGAAAATGTCAAATTGTCAAACGTCAGAGAAAAATTGGTCGTTCACAATTAAGAAAATATGAAACATCGTTAAGTACCTACATACTGAAATTTTAATAAAATTAAGTTATTGCAATATATTTACCAAAAAATATAAGTTTATAAAAAATCTAATTTTATAGAAAATCTATCAGTTTTGGAAATGTATCCTGTTGAACAGTGCACTCTAGTGTGGAGTAGTTACATTTTTTCTCTTTTTTAAGTCATAGATAATAAACTTTTTTATGTGTTTAGAAGATTTTAAAGATAAGTTTAACCCACAGATATGTACAGCCCACTGAGTTTTCCGTCGGATCTTCTCAGTGGGTCACGATTCCGATCCGTGAGTGGATTCCCCAAAGAACTGCTCTTGCCAAGGCTAGTCTCAATAAATTTAATAAATTCTCTCAGATTGACCCTGTGAGCTCGGCTACACACTCAACGAAGCCGGAAAAGCCTCTCAAGGCTACTGGCAGTAGGTACGATAAAAAGTACATAGAGTTCATAGAGTATCGGTGGTGTTGCGATACTGTATTTCCGATCTGATGGATGGGATTACCATTATTTAATTACAGCTGAGGCTTGGGCCTTAAAGTGAGGAGTGGTACACCAGTTGCGATACGTTTGATCCATTGCATTCGTGAGCTCGTTTACCCACTGCCACCCACAAAGACAATATGATGATGCCATAATATGGTAGACAAGGTAAATTTGAAAAAAATTATTCAAAATCCATTTCATTAATTTTACTACTGTCAGATGTTTTTTTTGGTAGATTATATTAAATCAATTATGTAATGCTATTTATTTTTATTAATCAATTTCTAGACAATTAATTTAATTAAGAATGCAATAGAAATGGATAGAAATAGACTTTTTAATCAACAATATTAAATTAATTTCTGTTCCTCTCTGTGAAGTTTCAAACCCAATAGTGACTCGAAATCGAAAGCTCTATTTGCAATTCGCTGGTGTGAACTTTTGAAACATGTATTTAAAATTAAACAATTGTATCAAAAAAATCGCGAATCCAAGTTTCCATTTTTCGCGGATAGATGTCGCTAAAAATGATTCCTCATTTGGTTGGCACGAATTTAAGATTCTAAAATAATAAGTTTTGATGTCACAACTTTCTTTAAGCGCCCTAGAGAATAAATAAATAAGGTATTTAATAGTATTAAATTCACATGGGGCTCCAATAAAAATTATCAGCTTGCAATTTAATTTTGAGAAATCACTGGTCTATTCACCGAACACTGTATTACTAATATTTATTTGCATTTCAAACAAATATCTAATAAATTTAATTTTCAAAAGCATCATATAAGTAGTACATCTTTGTAATAATTGTTTTATATGATAAATGATATCTAGTTACGTCATCATTTAGCCCATTTCGATAACCCACACTACGTGTCTAGACACCGCACCATCAAATACCACCGGATAACTCTAGGATTAACTACTCACCAACCTATTCCCTGATTATACTTAAATTTTTACCGGTGGTAGGACCTCTTGTGAGTCCGCACGGGTCGGTACCACCACCCCGCCTATTTCTGCCGTGAAGCGGTAATGCGTTTCGGTTTGAAGGGTGGGGCAGCCGTTTTAACTAAACTTGAGACCTTAGAACTTATATCTCAAGGTGGGTGGCCATTAACGTTGTAAATGTCTATGGGCTCCAGTAACAACTTAACACCAGGTGGGCTGTGAGGTCGTCCACCCATCTAAGCAATAAAAAAAAATCCTTTACTGTTTCAGCAACTCGTCTTTGGAATAGCCTTCCCCGGAGTTTTTGTGAAGCACGTCCAGTTGATACTTTGAAAGAGAAAGTACCTGATCTCTTTTTCAAAAAAAAAAAGTTGCTTGATTGTTTTTTAGTGTTGTTTATATAATTTCTTTTATTTTCTATGTATTTCTTATCTATGTATTTTTTTTTTGGTAATGCAATTATTACCTAGTGTTTTTTTTATTGCCCTTGTAGGCAGACGAGCACACGGCCCACCTGACGGTGAGTGGTTACCGTCGCCCATGGACTTCACCAATGCCAGGGGCAGAGCCAATGCGCTGCCTACAGAACTCATGTCTATTAAAATGCTTGAAATTATCGTCATGTATTAACTTTATCACAGCCACGTACTTCTTGAATCTTTCACTTCATCAACGAGAGTTAACTGGAAGAGAATGCCTGCATGTCATTAAGTTCGCCTGTCTACAATGTTTTAGTGCAATAAAGAGTTTTCAATCAATCAACCATTCTTTTTCAAACAGGCTTGAACAGTCTTCAACGCCATCCATACCTTCCAAAGCCATAAAAACCTAGTCTCCTTATCTCTCTTTCTCTCTCTTTTCAATCGGTCCCTCATTGCTGAGAATCGTGACTCCGTTTGATTCCGTCAACCAGCTGTCTCCATCGATCCCGTTCTGTAGCCTGGTGGAGTGCATCGCTGACAGGTACCCCCAGTTCCTCCGCTATTTGGTCCGACTATCGTTTGGGACCTCTACCCCTAGGCCAGTGATGGGCAAAGTACGACCTGCGGGCCAACTCCGGTCCGCGGAAGTATTTAATCCGGCCCGCCGAGAGTCCATCCATCCTAAATATTCTAGTCAGCATGATGGCGCGTAAAATAAAATCTAACGTTTATAATTTTATTGAAAATCTTCGAATTTTTAGTAAAAGGTATTTTGGCGTAATAGTATAATATAGTAATTTAGTAATAAATAGTAAAGTAAAATAATAGTAATTTGGCGTAATAGTAATAGTAAAAGGTATTTTTTTTAGTAAAAAGCTTTAATATGTAAGCACTGTAATATCACATATTAATATCACTTTAATATCATCTACTGGTGGTAGGGCCGCTCTTGTGAGTCCGCGCGGGTAGGTACCACCGCCTTACCTATTTCTGCCGTGAAGCAGTAATTTAACCAAACGCATCTTAATTACTCGGCGAATATTACGGTCTTTCCAGATTTTATCGAGGCTAGTCATGGCACTTTTAGCCATCCCGATACGAAAAAAATACAAAATGAATTTATCTATAATTCTGGCCCTCTTCTAGAATTTCTTAAACTTTGTGGCCCGTCATTAAAAATGTTTGCCCACCACTGCCCTAGGCCTTTTTCCCTCGATTTTACCGGTCACCAAACAAACATAAATAATAAGTCGGAGAATTCCGTGAACCACATCTCCTGAACAGCCATAAATTTAGTTTTGAACTTAAAATATAACAACAATCACGAGCTGTGACGATAAGTCCGACTCGCACTAAAACGTCATTACGTAAATGTCAAATAAGTGTGACGTCATCGACTGAAAATAGAACATTGGACTTCACAATGCTATGACCACGTCATTAATATTGGAAACGTATGGTAGAGAATTGAGTACAAAGTATACCGGAGTCCAAATTAAAAACTGTTAATAGTAAATTTTTATTCTAATGTGTGAGAAAAACTCCTAACAAGGAAGGTTCCATTCTTGTGTACTTTCTATCGTTTATTATATAAAAAAAAGAACATAATATTCCTAACCTAAAAGTACATGTTATTATCCGCAACACGCTTCGTCAGATTACAGAAATAGAGTTATCAGCCACATGCTTCGTCAAAAAGTACAATAGTTACTTTCAGCTACTTACAAGCGTCGTCATAAGTAACATAATATAGGTCCACGCTAACAGCAATGCGCGCGTAGCCATCGGCTAGTCAAAAAATAGTAAATTATGTCCTATACTGGTGGTAGGACCTCTTGTGAGTCCGCACGGGTAGGTACCACCGCCCCGCCTATTTCTGCCGTGAACCAGCAATGCGTTTCGGTTTGAAGGGTGGGGCAGCCGTTGTAACTATACTGAGACCTTAGAAGTTATATCTCAAGGTGGGTGGCGCATTTACGTTGTAGATGTCTATGGGCTCCAGTAACCACTTTAATACCAGGTGGGCTGTGAGCTCGTCCACCCATCAAAGCAATAAAAAAAAAAACAGCAATGCGCGCGTAGCCATCGGCTAGTCAAACAATAGTAAATTATGTCCTATATCTATGTCCAGCAGTGGACGTCTGTGGGCTGATAGAATAGAATTCTTTTTTAGTAAATTTACTGGTGTTAGGTCTATGAGTCCGCACGGGTAGCACCACCCTGTCGTAAATCAGTAATGCGTTTCGGTTTGAAGGTTGTGACAGCCGTTGTAAAAACGGAGACCTTAGAACTAATATCTCGAGGTAGGTTGCGGCATTTACGTTGTAGATGTCAATGGGCTCCGGTGACCACTTAACACCAGGTGAGCTCATACATCCATTTAAGCAATAAAAGAATAGTAAAAAAGTGGAGTCTTTGATGCTAAGTGAATATGAATCTATCTTCATTATCTTCTAGGACATCAAATATAGGACATCAAATGTCAGATGAAACTAATCAAAATTCAATAACTATAAACCCATTGTAAACCACATTCGAATTGTTTGTCATTGTTGGGAACTGCAGTAGCTGAAGCCACAAACAAACAAAATATCTATAAAATTTTATAGTGCAATGATTTTAAAACAATTGTTCTATACGACATTCTATCCATCCTGACTACCTCTACCGTGAAGCAGTAATGCGTTGCGGTTTGAAGGGTAGGGCAGTTATTGTACTGTAAGAATTGAGACCTTAGAACTCATGCTTCCAGTTAAGCCGCGTTTACGTTGTTGAACAGGCTCCGGTCTTAGCATCAGCTGGGCCGCAAGCTAGTACACCCATATCTATATATATAAAAATGAATTGCTTTTCGTTTGTCTCGCTAAAACTCGAGAACGGCTGGACCGATTTGGCTAATTTTGGTCTTGAATTATTTGTGGAAGTCCAGAGAAGGTTTAAAAGGTAGATAAATATGAAAATGCTCGGAATTAAATACAAATAACAATTTTCCGGACGGATTCCTT